ATGTGATTTGTTTCTTTTCTCTAACTGCTTGTAGAACTTTGTTCTTCTGTTGAGCTTCTGGAATCTTAACAATTATATGCCTCTGTGTAGATTTTTTTTGATCAAGGCTATTTGGAGTCCTATATGCCTCACTTATCTGTATGTCAAATTCTTTTCCCCTGTTTGAGATGTATTCTGCCATCACTTCTGTGAACAGTGTTTTTAGTCATCTGCACTCTGTCCTGTTTCTTCTTTAACTCCAATCAGTCTTATGTTATTCTTCTTTGCATCGTGTAGTAGCTGCTGGAATGATTTCTCGTGGTCCCTTACAATTTTAAAGAAATTTTTCTTTTCCTGGTCACTAATAGAAATCTTATCTTCTATATCTGAAATGCTGTCCTCACATTGCCTCATTGTGCCGCACAGATTTTCAATAGAGTTTGGTTTTTTTTGGTACTGCGGATTGAACTTGCATCCTTGTACTTGCAAGCCAGGGGGCGGAACCACTGAGCTAAATCCCCAGCCCCTCAATGGAGTTTTTAATCTCCTGGAAATCTGTTTGTATCTGTTTTATGGATTCCATTTGTTTCCTGTGTTGGGATTCCATCATGTTCCTCAAGTCCTCCATTTTTTAAATTTGTGTCCTCTCTAGATTCATTAATCATGTCTTGCACTATGGGCCCAATCTGTGCTGTTACCTGAGAAATTATTTCTGAATAGTCATTTCTTTTTTTGTTGTTGTTTTTTTGGTACCGGGGATTGAAAGAAATTATTTCTGATTTCGTTTTTTTCCAGATCCTCTTTTGTGGCCAGTTCAGGGAGTCCAGGTGGTTGAGTATCAGAGTGTACCATCTCGTTTCCTTTTTGTGTTGTTTTAGGTGATTTGGATGTCTGGTTTTGAAACTTGTTAAGTTTCTTCTCATTTCAACTTGGGTAGGGGTGGTTGCTGCCAGAGCCTGCACAGCTCACCTCCTGTGTGCTGGTGGGGGTGGTATGGCTGGCCCCGAAGCCTCCTCCTGTTCACTGGGAGCGGCTCACCTCTTCTGTGCTTGGGTCCTTCCTCTTTCTGTTCCCTGTTGAAGTATTTGTGCCCTTTCTCTTTGACCTTGTCTTACGACTTCACCTCATAGAGCAGGAGACAGCTTGGGACTGGGGTGCAGCACTTTAACCCCTGATGCAATGTGTAGTCATGACTGTCTTTAGCGCTGAACTGTGTCCATTATCCTGCTTGGTACACATGTCATTCCAGTTATAAAGGTGAGAAAACTAGCATTTAGAGTGGGTAAGTAGCAGCAGTGGAGCCAGAGTTTTGTAATATTTGTATCAGAAGTCACCAGAGGTCAAGTCTTTGCTCTAGGCATTGTTACCCTGTGTAGACTTGGAGAAGTCACTTAATCTGGCTAATCCTTAGCTTTTGGTGTTGACATGATATGTGAAGATACTTTGTAAATTAGCAAAACTCCATTTTTACTCTCATATCTGACAAATTATTTGGGGGATACACGTTTGTTTTATAATTTGATAATACTCAGTTTTTTCCCTTTGTGAGAAAACAAAAGCCATCTTTCCCATCTGCCTACCCTCTTGATCTACTTTGTTTTCTCTTTTCATTTGGGATTCATTTGCTATCCAAAACAAAAACAAATCATCTTCCACTCACACATCAAAAAAAGCCTGCATTTGAGTCTAGGATGCTTTGCCATCAGTTTAGTCTTTAACCTTTTGCATTTGAGATTAGGCTTTCTGTAGCTGCTCGGATGTCCCCACTCCACCTTCTGCAGTATTTTCATTGTTGCTGCTGCCACCTTGCCAGAGGTTTGTCATGGTTATGCGATGCTGTGTTCTCTGTGTCCAGCTTCTCTTCCCTTTTTCTTTATTGTAAGCTGAATGTAATGTTCTGTCACTGCTGTCCCATGCCCTCTCTCTGTATGCTCTCTTTCCGTGTTCATTTGCACGAGGGAATCTCACGACGAGCTCCAGGGCATCTTCCTGTAATGTAGCTCTTGTTTTCTCAGGTTCTGTCCCATATGTCTAGCTGTTCCTGTCCCTAAATGTTCCATTGTGAATTCAGCATGCCTCCAGTTAAGTTTATCATTGTCCTCTCTTGATTGTCTGATTTTTTTCTTTTTGTTGAAGGTGTCTGTTATCCTTCTAGTCACACAGAGGTGATACTTCTGGTCTCCTAATTCCATTCACTTTCAGTCCTATTCACTTTGTCTCCTAACTTTTATCTGTTCATTCACAGTATTCTTTTTTTTTCTGATGTTCTTTGTCTTCCACTTGGCTTGTTTGAATTTCATTCTTACCTCAGATTAATCTCTCTTGGCTCAGGTACTTTCAAGAATCTGGTGTTCCTTTGTGAATAGAGTTCAAACTCTTAACTTGGATGTGAGTTTCTTACATTATTCTGGTCCTGCTTTATTTTTCTGTCCTCACTTGCCACTCTTTTATGCCTGAATAGTTAATACCTCTAGAGTTTGCTCTTCCTGTATTTCCTGTGTTGTCTTTGCTTCATCTTCTAGTGCCCATTTCTGTGTTCTTCAGGATTGACTCCAAGAGCCACCTTCACTACACTGGTGGTTCTCTTCCTCTGATTAAAATAGCTTTAGTTTTCTCTCAAATTCATGTCTTCTAGTATGTATAGAGATGTGTAAGTAGTAATTTTCTGTCTTCTCAATGCTTTTTCTTTATTTTGCTCCTTTCTTAGATTGCAGGAAAGTTTGCAGTGAGATCATGTCCTCTTCATCCTTGCTGTAACTCCTAACACAGCACCTCATGCATTTCAGATAGCAGCTAATAAGTTATTGAATTAGTGAGTGTTGGAGGATACCTTTTTTAAATATATCTTAAATTCCCAGGGTGTTACTTGGTAGAAATTGAGAAATTTAAATGTTTTTAGACTTTTAAATGTTTTATACATACATATTCATAGTCATACAAGAAAATGATAAGCAATAGGAGCTAATAGTGTTAAATTTATATATATGATATTTAATTTATCATGGAAATTGGGACGGAAGCCAAATGAATTATTTCTTCTTTGGAGACTCATTTTTCCAACATAGTCAGCTACTGGATGTCTACTGATTTGTGTACTTTTTCCCCTAATGGGTAGAGTTTGACCCTTATATTTGTAAAAGCACGTTTAATGCATTAAATTTTCAGGATCATATAGTTAAAATGAGAAATGATGTTTGCCTCGAGGTTAAAAGTAGTACTTTGAATGTTAGCATTACACAGTATTAAATTATATTGGGCAGTGATAAAAGATGATTAAAAATGAACAGTGAGCATAGCTAGAAGAGAGAGTAGCAATGTAAGTATTTGCCTTATAACTATATTTGTCAGAAACCCAAGTTTGTAAGGAGTATTACTGACTTTATATGCAGGATTATTCTTTCTACTCTTTATTCCTCATGTACCAGCTTTGAGGTAGGAGGAGGATTGTGAGTTTGTGGCCAGCCTGAGCTACATAGCAAGAGCCTATTTTTAAAAAACAAAATAAAGTTGGTATGATTAGTTAATGTATCTTTGGAAAAAAGACAATACTAGTATATTAGGTGGATTATTGAAAGGTATTTTATCTGAGTGGAGGTTGAAAACTGAGGCTTGTTCCAATCTGGTGCTGCTAAAACATTTAGCTCATGATCATATTAAAAGAATATCAGGAAAGATCCTCAGATTAATAAGACATTCATGGATGTTTAGAATTCCTGAGGAGATTGTGAGCGTATCAGAATTATGCTTTCTGACTGTGGCAAAGCTCTCCTGATTTAGTAATCAGCAGTTTGTCAGGTGTATCGTTTTTTGTGCATGGCCGTCAGGAGAAACGAAGGCCTGCACATGTGCACACACAAGGAAAGGTCAAGACCATTATGGTCATGATATTCCTGCACCGGGAAGAAAGCTTTGTTGACCTGGACCAGTGATGGCGAACCTGTCAGAGACTTAGTGCCCAAACTGCAATCCAAACCCGTTTATTTATCACAGAATACCAACACTGCATTTAAACTTGAATACTGAGGTTTTAGGTTAGAAAAAACAACTGTTATCCAGTGCTTGGCTGCTGGGGTGACTTGGCTCGCATGACAACATAGAGGGCATGCATGCCATAGATTCGCCTCCACTGACCTAGATCTTCCTACTACAAACCCTGTGTTAGGTGCTCGTGGGGAAACACGGCATGCTGTTTAATGTCTTTAGCGGCAATACTTTCATATGTAAAAATACATGAAAATTAAATAGTTCCCAGTAGTTTCTGTGAAATTTCCTTTTTTTAAAAGTTTCTTAATTTTAAATTTCTGTTAAGTAAAGAATGTCTTCTCCTATGCTTAGAAATACTTCCATCACACTGGCTAAATCTAGATATATTCCAAGGCTTTAAAGATAATTTAGTGTCTACTGTTTACAGATGAGAAATTTGAATCAGGTGAAGTTTACACGATTGAATATTGTCACATAGATTAGTGCAGAGCATGAAAATAACTGTTCTTTTATTCCCTTTGCTGTTCTGTATTGCCCCCTCTGATGCATCTGATGCATGTACCTTTCTTAATTTGGTTTCCAGGATTCCCTTGTTCTTTGCAGGTCTGATTTTCTTAACAACCCTTATTTCAAATGCTCACATTACTTGTTATTGTTCTGGCTAAAAGAACTGCAGTTGCTTTTTTCTTGTTGTTACTGCCGTTAGGGCCTTGCATTGGGACATTTTCCTGCTGTTGAACCTTTATTCAACGGTTGTATCACCCCTATGGGAAATTGGATTTTAGATCTGGAAATCTAAACCTAGAGGCTTAAAAGTATGATCAGATGTTAATGACATAGGCTAAAATAAAGGAACTTTACTAAAGATATTTCATCTATTGCTCAATTAATGTTTTTATGTTTTAGGTGGAAATAGAGAAGCTAAAAAAAGCTGTCTTATCTTCTTGAGGTGGCATGGACCCAGTGTGTTAACGTTCCAAGGATACAGAAGCAACACTATGAACTCAACTGACTTGGACTTTAAAACATCAGTGTTGGTGATGTGATACAGAAATACGAGTATATGAACTATAATATCTATTGAAAAGTTGGGGGAGGGTAAAATTTTTATATATATATTTTGTTTTGCCAATATGAAATGAAACGAGGCCTTATTTCTTACTGTGCTGGGATTGCGAACATTTTTGCTTGTTTGTTTGCTTGAAAATACTACTGAGTCTGTATAAAAAGGAAAGAAAATTCATAATAGTTTTTTTATTGAAACTTGTAGTATTATTTTTAAAGAGAGCTATACTATAAATATGGTGATATCTTTCCAAATAATCTGTAAGATAAACTATTTGAGAGGGACAAATTAGCTTTATAGTAACTATATAGTCACTGCTTTCCCCATAATACATAAGGGATATAAACTGTGTGTGTACATATATACATATATACATATATATATATATTTTTACTTTAAGCTTCCTATCCAAAATGACACTGTTGTGCCCATTTGTCTGCAGTGCTGTTTATATTTTGGGTGATGAAATCGGAGTTTCCTAGTTATAAACTAGATTACTCACCCAAGCATAAGTAATAACTAATGAAATAATAAGAATTTCAACTTTTAGAGTATTTTCTATTGCTTGCACTATAGGATAAAAGGAATTTGATTAAATATATTGGGTTGTTAAACATATTTGGGAAAATATGAGCTTTATTTTAAACTCATTAGATCTAAGGAGTCTAAAAATGTCCATTTAACCCTTTACTTGTGCCTAGAAACTACAGCACATATGGAATAGGCAAACACCAGCCTTGTTGCTGTACTTTTCTGCTTATCTTACGGTCTCAAACAGTGCTCGTCTCACTATCTGGTGTTGTAGTTCTTTGCTCCTTCCTGTTGCTTTTCCTGGTTCTTCATAATGGCAGTATCAGGAAACAAACCCCAAGCTCCTCACAACCTCAGGGTGAGGTTTCCTGCTGGTCGCTTGTCACCATGTGAATACTCAGGTTTACAGTGTGTAGTTTATTTAGTACCCCAGACTAACTCTTAGAGAGATGTTGGACAGTTATTTAGGTAAGAAATTTAGAGAAAGCATTAGATATCATTACAGCTTATTTAAAACAAATACAGTTGACTGTATTAAAAAGACATCTTCACAGGTGTATTTAATGAATTTCCAGTTTCTTCAGAGTCACCTATGAACAGTTGAACATATTAAAATGTATTGGTATGTGCTATGTCTAAAAACATGAGTTTATTACAAATTCAGAAATTTAAAATTTCATTATCTGCAAAACAGTTAAGCTTTAAGATGTGCTGTAGCAAGAGTGTCAAGTGTTTGAGTACCAGTTACCATGCTTCCAGCTTTTAAGCTACCAAACCAATATTTCTTTATATTTTACTTTCAAAATACAGAAATTTTGTGTAAATGCAATTTTGTCATGTTTCAAATAAAAGACAATTAAAGTAGAAAATAATGGAAATGCCCATACCTAATTACTCACTGTATAATTTACAACTTTTGGGCTTTGGGCGAAAGCTAACTTACACATTGAATATGTACATTTTAACTATTTATAGCTTGGGGACTTCTCTAATGAGATCACTACTGAATAAAGTTGTTCTCTCCTGTTTTTAAATGATCAATCGAATGATTTCTATCTTGTTAAAAGAAAATAGATCTTCTTTTAATGACAGTCGTTAGGAAGAAATAAAGACTTCATCCTCCGTCTCTCTTACTGGAAAATCTGCTCAGTTAGCCCTCCCCACCTAGTAGTGTGGTAAGGAAAGGTTCCAGTAGATTGTTGGCTTTTCTTAAAAGTTTTGTTTTTTGTTTTTGTCATTTTTTACTAGTACTCCATGAAACCAAGATGGTAGTGAGTATTGAAAAATAAGCTTTTGCTTGCCTGCTCTTCAGTCAGAATAGATGAGTCATTGAAGTTCTGTGTATTTTTCTGCCCTTTATAAAAATGTAAAGCAAACCAAGTATGCTCAAATTTAAAGAGGAAAATTCCATTAATATAACAATTTACCAGTATTTGCTGTTGATATGAGAATTTCTGTTATATTCCTAAAGTTCATATCACAAAATGATAACTGTAGCCTTTACTAGGGGTAAATCATTAGTTTTGTTCCTACATGAGAGTATAAATAACAGACCAAAGGTGACCAGCATGGAATCTGTCATTGCCAAACTATTAGTGAATGTATAGTTCGGGTTTGCTATTCTTTGAAACACATAATATTCCTAATTTCGTAATTGTACTTCAGTTTTTTGTTGTTTTTCTGTTTTGGGTATGTTTGTGACCACTAAGCTTCTGTTTTCTTATAAAGCTGTTACTGTTATAGAATTTTACAGAACTTTGCTGAAGATGCACAGAGAGGAGGGGCCTTGTGTAACAGATTTCTCCTTTTATGCTTCTTACTGTGATCACAGAAAGGAAGAAATCCACGTGCTTTGTAGATATTTTTGAGAAACATTTTATGCTTGCATTTAAACCTGAAATGTATGAGCAGAATAAGACAATCAGTGAAAATCAGAAATGAGAAGTGTTATAATTTAATGCCCTTTTTTTACTGTGGCAATAAAATGACCAAGTGCAATGACTCAATAAAATCATCTTATAAAAGTTGCTGCTATGAATATTTTCAGTTACAAAATTTTATCCTTGTTTTAGACTGACTTGCCTTCAGTAACTCATGTAATGCAGTTGATGTTATGGTAACATTCCCAAAAACCTCATATATAGATGGGATGGGATGGGATGGATATATATGAATGATGGGATATTCAAGATAGTATTCTCACTGACTTGTTTACAGGTGCTGTAAAGAACAAAAAAAAGACAGGATGTTCTCCCTCAAAAAGAAAAATGAATAAAAAAGAATTGTATTGCCAGTTGTGTCTTTATTAGTTAACTCTTCATTAACTTTAGCATATGCTTAAGAGTATGAAAATTATATTACTTTGAGTTTTCCAAACAAAAGAAATGCATAGTAAAATGACAGCATTAAAAGTTGTAGACCTTTGTGACTTGTATTGAACTGTGAAAAAAGACATACTCTTAGAGATGACAACAGGTTTATTATTTCTGAATGTCATTTCGTCTAAACTCCTACTGGATAATAGGAAGAATTCAGTGATTTATGTGAAGTGCCTTGTAGAGTGCTTGGCATGGAATTGATTTAAAAAACAAACAAACCTGGAAGTTGCTATTTTATTGTCTTCAAAAGCGTTTTAGTGTTGGGTAGGTTGTGAATTAGATGGAGAAGATGAAGAGAAAGGAGGCCTCTTAAATACAGCATCCCTTTCATCCATCTTTCCGGGGTCTGTTGTGCAAGGGTTGTGTATCCTTTGCTGACGGAGTATTCTTGGCTCAAACTGAGTTGTATGTTCACCAGAGACTGAGGCCTTAAACACTGGAAACAGAAGGGCCAGTGTCAGTGTAAGAACTCGCCACAGTTAGATTTTTTCCATCATCTGCGAAAAGTTGATTTGAAAGGAGAATTGAGAAGCTCATAAGGAGATTGAAACAATCCAGGATTCTGAATCTGCCCACACCCCTCCTTGAGTCTCGTTACCCACTGCTTGGCTCCTCAGGCACAGACTTGCTCATAAGCTTGCTGGCTTTCTGAACCCACCACCGAAAATGTCTCCTTGCAAATAGAGAATAGGGGCATGGAGAGGGCAGCAGGGGTCTGGCAGAGCGCTTGCCTGGGTGTGCGAGGCTCATTCCTCTCTGTACCACACATGGGAGGCTGCAGACTCGCTGGAAATAGGCCGTGTCTGGGGTGCTGGGCTTTCTGAAAGTGCTGGCAGATTTGGAACAAAGACTGGAACACCGGGCGGAAACCATGTGCAAAATAACTCGAGACATTTTAGTGTGAAAAACTTGGAGTCACTTTTTATTGGCCTGTATAGTGTTTATGTGTGAGGTTCTTTTTTTTTTTTTTCCCTTTGGTACCAGGGATCGAACTCAGGTTCTTGCGCTTGCGCAGCAGGTGGCGAAACCACTGAGCTAAATTCCTGGCCCTATGTGTGAGGCTCTGAACCGTGAAATTGCAGTGCGGGTCTAGAAACGGTCTGTCGCTGTCCCTGTGCAGATGGTTGTGTTGGGGGATAAAGGTTTCAGATTCAGTCTCGTTTCAGTAGCAGTTTAACTCCTGTGATCTGTTCGGCTTTAGTATTTTCCAACAAAGATTCAAGAGAGATTGGGCCCGGTTTTTGAAATATTTTTCTGAATCTTATATCATTATCATTATTTTATTGTTAACCCCCTTACTGCGAATCTGCTTACTTTATAAAAGGAAAGTAAACTTAGAAATAGGTATCAGGATTTTTGTATAGACCTAATAGTTTTTTTCTATTGTGCAAATGTGGTTATTATTTTGCAGTCTTTGGATGACATTCTTGCCTATTGAGTCCACAGCCTTTTATTAATTTGCAGCTCCTTTAAAATTGTGTATGAACTATTAGAGAGTAAAGTATTTTAAATGTACTAACAATTCTTGAATAGAAACCATTTGTTAATGAATGGTATAGTGCATTTTTAGAAATAGACCTATTAATTGAACAGAATGCCAAATCCAGTTTTATGTCACAGCAGTGACATTTTTATCATTTTAGCATCTCCATTGAAACATACTGAGATAAGCTAATACATGCAATGAAAAATATTCTGTGGGTAAGAAAACATGATAAAAATATTTCCTTTCAGATGAAATAAACAGCCACGGTTTACATTAAAAATACTTCCCAACTGCCCAAGAGACTTGGAGCAAAATGAAGGAGCAGCCTGAACATCAGACCTCTGACGAGCTTCCCTAGATGGCCACATGCAGATATCATCTCTTGTTTTCATAGTATTGGAGATGGAACACGGCCTTGGCCGTGCTACGTAAGGGCTCCACCACTGAGCTGCACCCCCAGCCCTTTGCTTCATTTTGAGGCCTAAGTGGACCAGGCTGACCTTGAACTTCCAATCCTCCAGTCTCAGCCTCTTGAGCAGCAGGGATTAGAGGTGTGCACCACCAGGCCCAGCAGGGATTTAAAAAAAAAAAACCCACATGACCATTTTGGGCCTAAATCTTGTGCAGTAGGGCAGTAGGGTGACAGACTGAAAGTGCACTGACTTACCCTGCTGATTTGCATGCCGAGGAGACATAACTGCATGCAAGGGGAGACATAACTCTTAGGGATGACAACAGATTTATTAAGATGGTGTTTTGAGATAAACCGAATTTATAGTTCTCTCCCTCTTGGTTATCCTTGTCCCTTCAACAAATACCTGACAACATTCAATGGGGAGCAGCTACAAGTATCTTTATAGCAAATATCTTTATAGTAGATACAAGTAATCATTACAAGCATCTTTATAGACCAGTATCTATCAGATGTCTAGCAGAAAAGTTGTTCTGAAAAAAGAATTGATTAAAACCTGTATCATAAGATCTGTGTCATCATCTGTTAAGTTATGAAGCTTAAGGATAATGTGTATTGACTCTAAAAATTGAAAATTTTAGGGCCAGGGTTGTAGCTCAGAGGCACCGTGTCTGCCTGGCAAGCCCAAAGCCCTGAGTACCAGTGGGGGAAAAAAAACAAAAAGGAAAATTTTAGATACAACGTAAATAAGTAGGAAATGCATTTAAAGCTCTACCACTGAAAAAAGCCAGGCCAGATGGGATCATAGCTGTTTTCACTGATTGTGGACAGGTTTCCAATTCCTTTTGTGAATCCAGCATCACTTTAGTATCTAGGCCTGATCACTATAGACCATTCCCAGTCGTAAAGATCTGGTGCAGGAGATTTACCTGTCTTTGTGCAGTATGTGAAGTTCCAAGAGAAGAGGGACCCAGCAGGCTGAGGTGCACAGGGTCAAGTGAGGCGTTCCAGTCTGGGCAAGGTGGTGTTTCCACCATTCCACTACTAGCACGGCAACCACACCTTGGTTTGGGGAAAGGAGCTTTGACTTTTGGACCACACTTTTGAACTGCTGACCTTAGCCTGGAATGGCTCTGACAATCAGTAAAAGTTTAGCAGATGAATCAGGACACCAAAGGCGAGGTTGGCTCTGTTCTTCAACCTGCTCCTCCTGCCTTCCCATCTTTCCCCTTCAAGTGTTCAAGCATTCAACTGGACTGTCTCAAGGCCATCACACCAAGTGCCCCCAGGGGCCCTGCATCCAGCCTTACCATGTCTGTTCTATTCCTCACACTGAACTTTAAGTGGTCACTTTACCCTAAGGTTTATATTAAGTTCATCTTTACAAATAGGGGGCATGTCATCTATTCCGAGCAAGATTGATACTGTGCTTTCCAAGCATGATTCCAAGCAGCCACTATCTTAGTCACCTCATCATTCAACCATCCTGTGTGCTGTTAATGTCACCCTTCAGACAGGAAATGGCTCAGCAAGGTGTTAAGCAGGTCGGCCAAGACCACCAGCCAGGCAGGGGTGGGGCCACTGTGGGGCCAGGCAGCCTGGTTTGCAGCCTTGATCTAGCTTCTCTTGGGAAGTGATGGGCAGAGAAAGCGTCAGAATAAGGAGCTAGAATCCTCTAGTTTCACTTTTTCCCTCTTGATCCTCTCTGTAATCTCTGAGCATCCAATTTTCCCATTGGAAAGAAAAGAATTTTGGTGATCCTACACTTTTTATATTTCCCTGTTACATGTGCACATAAAATTTTAAGAAACATTCTTAATTTCTTAGTGTACATTTTTGCAAACAGTTTTCATGGCTTCTCATGGCAAAAACATGGAGAAAAAAAATCCTACTTAACTTCCAAAAAGACATCAAATGGCCACTAGGTGGCAGTCCAAGCCCAGCTTCGGTATGTCCATGCTGACACCTCACAGTGTGTTACTCCAGACACACCGAAGAAGCTGGGGCATTTGCAAATAAAACCATTGCTCCTGGCCATTGAGCACACCCAGAACGACCTCACCAGCCTGCGCAGCTGTCCCTGAGCACAGTACCGCCTGGTAGAGGAAAGCAGACAGGTTGTGGAATTCTGGCCTGGCTCTGAAAGTGAGTGGCTATGTGTGCTTGGCAACTCGCTGCGCTTTTTGTCTCTTCTCTTACCTATGAGAGATGTAAAGAGAATTCTCGCCACGACTCAAAGCCTTTCCCTCTTGTTCCCCACGTGGGGAGAAAAGTGGCAGCTGGGTCAGGATGACAGATACGGAAGTGACCTGTCTTGCCCATTCCTGGGGGACGTCCATGTCTTGAAGGCACTTGCACTCTGGGTGGCCCAGGGCTTTATGCCACACACTCCCCTCCCCTTCTGTGTCTCCATTTCATCTGGTGGGCGCTTCTGCCTCACCCAGACCAAGAGAAGTCGCAGAATGTGGCCATCAACCCCTCTCACGGTCTCCTGGTGTGGCTGACGGGTTCAGCTGCTTGTGGACAGACGTGGAGAAGATGTGCTTTCGGGTTGGGTGTAAAAGAGCACCTGGCAGGGTTTGAAGGAGTGCTGTACCACCAGCAGGCCTGTCTGGGACACTGAGGCGCATTTAGTGCACTTGGGTACAATAACAGCAGCATGGCTTGAAGGACTGCGTCCTGGGGACTGGCCCTGCATGGCCCAGTTTCCTCTGGAAGTCTGATGAGTACTCAGAATGGCTCTTGTAAGCCTAATGCTTTGGGACCAACGAACAGCTCTGTGTGTCCTTGTCGGTCACCTTTGTGGGTGTGTGTCTAGCACCAGGTGCTGCTAGGGCTTTGCTAAGTGTCCCCCAAACGCCCCTGTGCTGGGGCCCTGGGGGGCCCAGTGGGAGCAGGATGCGCCCTTGGAGTGCCATTGGCACCCTGCCCCTTCTCTCCCTCTCTTATGCCGACTGCCCCCACCACAGCGGGCTGCTGCTTCCCAGGCCAAGTCACAGTGGCCTGGACCTCCAGAAGTGTGAGCCAGACAGGTCCTTCTCCCACCCCACAGCCGCCGGCACAGGTGGGTATTGGGGGTGGGACAGAGTACACCCGTCTCAGCCATGTCCCATGGGGCCCAGCCTCGTCCATCTCCCGTCCCCATGACTCCTGACCACAGCAGAGGCCAAGAGGCAGGGCTGACCCAGCCCCCACAGGTCCTGTGTGCACACACAGAGCCGCAGAATTAACAGTCACACAGCGTCTCCTGAGCGCACTGCCATCATTGAGCATGCTTAATGAAAATGAGTGACGTATGGCACGCTTTGGGTGCTATCTGGGTAGCATTCTAAGAGTGTCAATTAAGCTGTTTTGACTACAAGTAACAAAAAACAGTGCCAGAAGTTCCGGGAACATTATTTATTTTAAAGCCAGAGGCTATCATTCGGATGGTGGGTTCAGCACTTTGTTGATGTCATCAAGGACCAAGGGTTTTCCATTGCCCCATCCTCAACACATCGGCATATTCCTCAGGCTCTTTGCCTCACGATGGCAAGGTGACTGCTCTAGCAGCAGACACTGCCTCCTTTCAGTTTCTAGAGGCAAAAAGGAGGCAGAGTAGGGAAGTGAGGACAAGATGACTTTTTTTCCTTCCCGAGTGTAGTTCTGTCGTTTGTTTCGAAAAGCATCCTCCCCAGAACTTCCCTTGCCTCACAGCAGATGGATGTGGTTACCTGCCTACTTTAGTTCAGGGACCAGCATCGGGCCTAGATTTTCACGACTGGTCAAAAACAACCATGTATGATCAAAGCTGGGTTTTGGTAAGAAAAAAGGCAGCCTAGGTTTGAGTCTGAATAATGGCAGCCTCTTCCAGGAAGGCTTCTAAAAGCTGAAACCTAAACCATTAGGTGGTGCCAGGGTTAGGTGCCCCATCCCGAGGAGGCTGGTGGTGGGGATCTCGATGAGGCAGGAGATGCCTGAGAACATGTGTGAGTCAGCTGGGCGCAGCACGGGTGGGGCCCTAGGCTGTAGTAGAGGCCTCAGAAAGCAGAGGGTGTGGCCCAGCATGTGTGAGCGTCACTGCAGGAAGAGCAGGCTGGGCCTGCAGCCTCGGGAGAAGCCGGGGAGGGGAAACAGAGCCCAGTGTGAAGATACCAAGGTCAAGGTGGGAGGGGCAGGGGCAGGGGCATGGCCTCACAGGGTGCTGGAGAGGGCGCACAGGGTCAGCAGGGCACCACGTACCCAGGGTCGGGGCATCACCGGGCAGGAGGGTGGGCCCGGTCCTGCCCTTTCCTGGCCCAGAGCACTTGCTCTGTCTGCTCACCCACAAGTGGGCTTGGGCTCGGGTGACCTCCAAGAGCACATCTGTCTCTCAGTCCCACAGACCCTGTGCCCCTCCACAGCCCGGACCCTTGCTGAGATGGGAGGCTGTGCTCCAGGCAGCACCTGTGGGTGTCACCCAGCTGTGACTCACCTCTGCCCAGCACCCACCCTCCCAAGCAGGGCCAGTCTGCCAGCCCGGTACCTCTTCAGTGCCCAGGTGCCTCTGGCTGCGCAGAGAGCTCTGAACCAGTGCTGATGTGAGCCAAGATACGATGCTCGGGGCTGAGAGGCTGCAGCTCCAGCTCCAGGGAGTGGCAGGATCTCTGACTTGGTGCCTGCAGCTGTGGTGAGTACCCACGTCCTCTCAGTTCAGAAACCAGCAGCCAGGGCGACTCTGTATTCATGAGACTTTGGGCATTTGGGGCTAAACTAATAACGCATGCAGGAGGCCAGTGTAAGAAGGCCTCTGGTAACTGGGAGCTCTTCTCATGACCCGTGGGAGCCGCAGGCTGGTGTGGACACATCTTTATTTTCAGGTCTTGTTCTGTTCTCCTCTCATCCTATCTGAGTTCCAGAATGGAGAAAAACTGGAATCCATGAGCTCTAGGTGGCCAAGTGTAAACATACAGGTTAATAAACAATTCGTGTCCTTTCCCCATCCGAACTGATAGCATCCTATGTGCAATTTTGATTTGTTGTTATGGTTTCACCAATCTCAAATCAACTTGAAGCCAGAGGCACTACAGGTCCTCAGGAAACCCTCATGGCTGAGGAATGGCCTGTGGCCCTCCATTTCTTGGTCCTCATTGCTCTTTTCCTCAGATAACCCAAGATTTCTCCTGGTTCACAGGTGCAGGATACCTGGGCACCTATGATATGATCCATTCTATTCCCAAAAGTGGGATCAATTGGTTCCTGGCCTGACCTTCTTCCTTCCTTTCCCTACAGAATTCTCTGTCAGAGTTCACTGATGTTCTTACCAGATAGACACATCGCCTTGTCAGTAGCTCAGATAAATGATTTGAAGTCTATTGTCAGGAAGCCTAAGTTAGCCTTGGTAGACTGCATGCCTTTTGTCTCTCAGTGGATTGTCCACTACAGTCTCACAGGTTCAAATCCCTTGGCAAGAGTGCTTGCATAATAGAGAGTCACAGCACCAGTGCTTTTTGCAGAATGAGTGAAAATTTGTAAACAGAAACCAAGACATTTATTCAAGATGACGAGATCAAAGCAGCATCCCACACAGCCCGGGAGACCTGGTGGTCCTTCTAAAACTGGACCCAGCAAGGGGAGTTGGAGTGAGGGTTCCCCAAGGGGAGATGTGAAACCCACCCTCCCATCACAGAATTTTCAAGACATATCAGTAAAAGGATAAACGTATTCATTAGGCAGAAAAGTAAAAGTACATACTCAAAAAATAGAGCGTGGGGCTCACGAGCGAGGGGTACATTGTTTCCTGGAGCTGGGTACACTGATGCTTCTCTTGAGAGGATGGGAACCCCAGGAAAATTTGGCCTGTATCCCTGAGGTTGCTAGGCCCTTTTATAGGTATGAGCCCAGTTATTTTTTTTGTCTAAGATGGATAATTTAAGCATTCTTTGAATTCTCTCAACCTACTCCTAGGCTCACATTCCTGTTTTTTACTTTTTAAAATTTAAGCCAATCTGTAAGCTAACAGTATCCCTGAGAAATGTGAATGTCATGAGTCTAGACAGAGAGGTGCCTAAATGTCAATGAAGGAATTGCTGGTATGGACCACCTTGGCCATCTTTGACTGGACCCCAGAAGTTGCAGCCTTCTTAAAATTATGATTTTTTAGTTATGATTTTCCTTGCCTCCTTTCTACTTATCTTTGTTTCTTCTATCTTACCTCCAGGGTGGCAGCAACGGGCCCCAGGAGTAGTTGATAATAGGTGCAGTGTCTACCAAGAACAATATTTCTGAATATGTTTAAAAAGAATAATAGAACTAACAGTCAAGTTTTAAATGTCATCAGCAGTATGCTCTGGCAAACGCTGTGCTTCTGCCTTCTTTATTCTGGAAAGCCATTCCTGAATGTGGAATGCAGTGGGAGCAAAAGTCCCTTTTGCTCAAGAAACACACTGTTACCAGTTCACCCTTAGAAACAAGGAAAGTCCGGATGCCTGCTCTCTCACTTAATCATCAGGAAGGAGAGAAAAAGCCATGCTTTTGGAGATTTAAAGATTAAGATGTTTATCATCCACTGGTCACTAAAAGAACCTCGAAAGGATGCACTCCGGTGGGAGGTAAAGGAAACAGAAAGGAAAGAGATGAAATATAAGGAAGACTGTGAAGCATAAGGAGTGGAGGAGGCAAAGAGCCTCCAGGATGGGGAACAGTCATGGGTGTTAGGGAGCCCTGGATTTTGTATGGCCTTTTACTTTTGAATATTAATTCAAGAACATTTTTCCTGTTTCCCTTTGTAAAATAGTCATAAATAGTTACCCACAATTCTTATATCCCTGTTTCTAGGGGGAGGGGGAGAGGAAGGGGGGAGGGAGAGGGGAAGAGGGAGAGAACTGAGTTTCGTAAGAATCAGAAAGCCTAAGTTGCAGTTGATAAAGTTCACTGGGTGCTGAGTGTACACTCCCACCCTGTGATCAGAGTGGACATAGATGCTCCTCAAAGTTCCCATCTGAGAAAGAGGAAAGAGAGCTCTTTCTGGCCAGTGTATCCTCGAGGATTTCCACCATGCAACTGCTGGAATAATGCTTTCATGAACATCCGTAGGTCAGAAATCGTTCTTTCTTGACCAGCCGCTAGGTATTTGTGTGTATTTTCATAGCCTCCTAACCTTGACGTATTTTTACTTAGGCTTTGTCCTCTCGAGGGAGGAGAAAATAGAAGCGTGAGATGTTAGGGTTAGTTATGAGAAGAACACGGCTTTTGTAGGGCAAACAAAGTCTCTGGAAACCTGCATGATGGTAGAGAGCTGTGGGAACAGTTTGTGTGATGGAAGCACATAAATCTTGAGACAAATTTTCCAGATGTGGTGCTACCTAAGGACATCCTAATTTTTCTGTTTCTGGACCCGCCCTAATGCATCTGTGTTCTTGCTTTGAATAATGGCTCAACGTGGCTCCCTCTTGCTGTTGTGTATACACATTGTCTTTCTTCTCCCGAAATGAAAACATCAGCTCCCCTTTTCCTGCTATTTTTTCCCTTTCTGCAGATTCTGTTTACTCCACGGATTGGTTAAGGGGAACAGAAATGGAGCAAAACTTTAGAAATTGTGTGTTCTACTGCATTTTGAATTTTTGACTTTTTTCCTTTCTAGAGTTTTTAACATGTTGTGTTAAATCTTACCTCTTTATTTATTTTTTGGAATTAGAGAAAATTTTCCTGGTTTCCAGTATTAGGTGCTGAAAATATTAGATTCACTTCCAGATGGGTGAGAAATCAAGACAGAGGTTTTCTGTGGATGTGTGTATAGAATCTTACTGACTGTTCTTCCTACTAATACTAAAAGCTCTAGCCTGCTGCTACCTCATACTACTGTATTATCCAGGCCCTGCATAAGTATTGTGTTTAATATTTGTACAATATTTCTGCATATAGACGCCTCATAATGTGTTGTTTTGTCACTGTGTGACATCTCTGTGTTTCCATGCTGTCACTCTGCCTGCGATGGACATTGGTAAACCTATGGGTTCGGCTGGTTATCTGTGTGTGACAGTCCTAGGCCATGCCACTATCATTGTTTGGATTTTCCTGGTTATCTGAGCTTCCATCCAATTGTATAGATTTTTGCAGCCTCTCTCCTGGCAGCCTCTGACTGCCAGGTGAAACTCTCCTTGGTTCTGGGGTGACTCATAGGACGAAGACTTCCGGGCACACCTCAGCCAGTACCCATACACCTGCACATGGTCACCGCTCATTGTTTATGTTTTGGGATGAGTAGTACCCAGTTCTCAGCTCTGAATGGCACCTGCATGCAGAGAGAAAAGTGTCCAATGCAAAATAGGCTTAGAGAAGATGGCTGAGGCTGGGCAGTCGAGGAAAATGATCTCATGTTGCATAAACTGGGCTTCTGGATAAACCCAGATCTCACACATGTACCTGGTGTGTAGCTTGGGGCTTAGACCATCATCCTGGCTCCCAAGCATTTGGCTTATTGCCCTGAGATGGTACCTCTGGCCCTGACCACTGCTGAGGGGACAATGCCCAAACTTGCCTAGGATGCCACAAACCACGCAGCTGTTGGGTCCAGAGCTTTGCTGGAGGTGACGCCCAGTGCTCTCCACCTCCAGTGATGACACAGGTGTTGCGGTCAGCCTCCTGACCCACCAGTTCCACATCTGTGGATCCAACCAGCTATGTGTGAAAATAAATACATATGCAGATTCCACCTGTACTGCACATGCACGGATTTTCTCCTTGTCATTATTCCCTAAGCAACATACTATAATAGCTATTTACGTAGCATTCACAGTATGCAAGGCATTATAAATAATCAGAGACGGTTTAAAGGACAAGGACAGACATACGTAGATCATACGCAAACACAATACTGTTTCACGTAAGGGACTTCAGAGTCTGTGAATTCTGGTGTCCAGGGAAGGTCCCAGCCCATTCCCCTGAATACCAAGGGACAATGATTTTAGGTTAAAAAGTCCTAGATCAGGAGTCAGAAAAGAATCTAGATCTCCCATTAACTTGGAGTACGACCTTAGGAAAGCCACTTCCTGTCTGAACCACCGTTTCATCTCTGAGAGAAGTAACAGATAATATCTGCTCTGCCCACCTCATAAAATATCGAGACACCAAGATGAATGTTATATGTGAAAATGCTCTGAAAACTCAGCCCATAGAAAGATCACCTCTTGCTTATTTTAGAAAAGCCACATGATATTCTAAAAAAGAAAATCTGACCTGGGTTCATACCCCAAACTTGCTGCTGAGTAACTGTGGAGTCAGGCAGGGCAGCTCCCTGCTGTTAGACAGTTGTGGAAGTCACTTCAGTAGCACAGACAAGAGCAAGGGTGTGGGCTGCTGCACTTTGTGCCTCTGTGGTGGCGGCAGTCTGGTGGGACAGACGCCTTGGAGTCTGCTAAATAGCATCTGGCTGGTTAATGATCAACGCCTCGTCTTCTACCCTGAGATCATCTGATCGGCACCCACAGTGAGCCTGGGAACCCCTCCAGCCCATCTCTCCTGAAACCTCCACCATTCATTGCAAAGCCCGATCACACAAGCATCAGCAGTGATCTCAGACGACAGTGCTGGGGACTGAAGTATCCCTGGTGACTGATCGCATCTGTCTGGAGCTCTGTTTACCTTTGTGGCTGCTTTTCCAATACTCGCTCTCTTTCTTAGTCAAGATGC